AGGACACAAAATGTCTATAATTTCACAATTTGCTTTTAATTTTCAGACATCGCGATGACTATTGACTTCTATTACTTGAAAGGCTCGCCGCCTTGCGCTGTGGTGTCACTAATATTCGCAGAGGTGGGTGTAGCATTCGTTGTGCTATATTTGGCTCGTTCACGTACCGACACGTGTTGCCGGCTCAAAGGTCTGACATCGACTGACTTCCCCTCTCTCCGGCATGTACTTATGGCGTGTACGCTCGAGACAAACAACACCACGTTTACGCATACACTACATCCCTTCCTTTTTTTAATAAATTTAATATTGCTAAGTATAGGTACTTGTATTCTAAAACTATCAATTAATGGAATACAAGTATACATGAAATTCGATATCCTAAGTTTCTCTACACTTCTACATGTATATCCATTTTGTAAGTTTAATAAACTTAGATTCAATAACAATTTTCTATAAATTCACTTAATAATTATTTTCACAACAACTGCATAGATATTTGTTACCATCCTATACTTATCTTCCATGTTTCCATTATTTCTTCCTTCTATGTATGCTATACTTCCTTCCATTTGTTATTTAGAACGCGCCAGTGTCCCTCAATTCTTTTTAAATAAACTTATTTTCGTCTTGAGATTTGTCCCGTTAAAATATTCCGAACTTCAATATCGCCATCAATACCTGTCTCTACCGTATGGGAAGCAGGATTTTAATTGACGCTTACTTTGTTATCTTTGTGTAAATTATTAATGTCGAAGCCAAATATTTTGCTAAAAAGATATGTTTAATAATTAACAGTACTTAAAAGTACTTAACAGTTTGATTGTATCCTAGACGTGATAAATTACGCTAGTAGTAATAATAAAATTTTACTCTCTATTATGAATGTTATGCACTGTACACACAGTACTAGTTGGTTGGAACACCAAAAGCTGTAACTGATGTAACTGTGCCCGCGACTTCGCTCGCACGAAATACTGACTTGGATAGCATTTCAATCACTTAGGCTAATCACTTAATATTACTAAGTTTTATACTGAAACATATTAAACCCACTAAATACTCGCACAAAATTCACATATTCCAATACATCAAAATCAGTCCATGACAATGGTCCCAGACTCCTGTCCATCAATGTACCAAACCTCATCCAAATTGGCCCAGCAGTTCCCGCTTGAAAGAAGGTCAGATAGACAGACAGACAGACAGACAGATGAAGCCACCCACGCATAAATAAGAATGTTCTGTCCCTATATTATGGAATAGTCAATGATAATTTTCTTTTTCTAATACATAACCTGAAAATGACTAACTTACTATGTTAACAATTTAATGTTTCTTCTCCTTCAAAGATGTTATATTTTCTATTGAATGAAGGTTTCAAAAGTCAGGACTTATACCTTTTTATATTTAATTACCAAATTTATTTCCCAGCTTATTTGAGATCTTTCAACCCACAACACAGAGTCACTGACGGTATTTAATTATGTTGAACTTTATATTTAACTTGATGGACAATATTTAAATGCCACTATAAGTTTTCAATTTATCAGATGTTCAACCTATATGTAACAATGAATTGCTAATGACTACTCTAAACATAGTAAAAGTCTTTTCAATATAAGCGTAACATAAATAAACATAAAGAGACAAACTCTTTGTCCCTTCTTTTCACAGGTCAGCAAATGAACTTGTCATTGCCGTTTATTCTCTAATGTTATTTACAATCAAACAGTAGGTATTATGTATGAAAATAGTTAAGGTAGTAGAACTAAGCGATAGCTCATAATAATCCAAATGGAATGCCATTTAAAAGTAAAATTATATGTCAACAAGATCTCTCTGATTTTAAACACACTTTTAGGCGGTGTGCTAAAGTCGTTTTAATAAGTCGATAGTGCGATTATGGTTCAATATTTCATAAATCGGTATTTCTCCTCCCTAAATTGAGTTTCAAGCCGTTAAAACTTAATTCAAGTTGACTCACCAATTTTTTGCGGGTTATTGATAACAAAATCCAGCTTCAACATACCCCGACTGCGACTAGTGTGTCCTCAGCGAGGAGTTGCCTAAACAGCGACTTTTACAATGAATTCCTCCATGACTTGGTCCAATAATTATGCTATAAATAAAGCTATTTCAGAAAGAAAACATTAACCTTTATTTATTCTATTTTACGGCAACTGTAGCATGTCATTATCAAAGAAAAACACGTTTCCGCTCTTATTTTTACCAAATTAGAGCAATAAAATCAATTTCAGATGTATTTTAAATACAGAGTCATCTATCGCCGGAAGCGGAAACTACTTATCTGTTTCACAATTATTGAATCGAAATTCGTTTAGTGCACAGTACATCACGAGATTTGAACTTACATATACTCGTAGTTAATAGTATTTCTGGAAACTTCACCAATACAGCATTAGCCACGGATTCGTTAATAAAGCCAATTATGATGACTTTAGTAACTGGCAATATAATATTAGAAATTGCGTTATACATATTGTAAATATTCATAACAAAACGTGACTAATAGTCAATCACATTTTATATCATTTTGTACTACGTATTTTGTAGTAAGGTGCTTACAACAGGGTTAAAAGAATTACTTCTCAAAAAGACAAAGGAATAGTCACTTACTTGAAAACAATAACGTACAATGTACATAATATAGTCGCCATTGATTTGACTTAAATTTACTTTAATTTTTTACAAAAATCTAAAATGTATTCAGGTGGTAGCTTAGATTTAAATTGATTAACTGAACTTACATTTATAAAGATGACAGTAACAACTTATGAAGCTGTACTCCTTCGTATGTTATACATATATCTCTTTCCACTCACTTTCGGCACAACAATCAGACTTGCTCGCCGAGTGCTGCGTTTATTAATCTGTAACTTTACAAACGACATGTTATTGATGATTTGTTTTGTTGATGGTTTTTCTAATTATAAAACATGTACTGTAGGCATATAGTTGATTAATAGTCATTATTTTTATTTTATTGTAGATAATGTATTTCCTCTCACCTTAATTTAGATACCTCTCACCTTAATTTAGTTAACAGTTTGCCTCACACAAATTTTAGCTTCAAACTTCTTACCACTCGTAATATCAATTTATCGATCAGGGTTTCAATCTTCTTAATTTATGTACTTGACAACTTTTCAGGCTGTAAATGAACTTATCGATTTAACGATTAGATGATCTAACCAATTTAATGGTCAGCCGTGCTGCTTTCACGTCTGTAAGACATGACTGATCTAACCAATTTAATGGTCCGATATGTAGCTTTCATGTTTGCAAGACATGAATCATCTAACCAATTTAATGGTCAGCCGTAGTGCTTTTATGTCTTTAGACATGAATGATCTAACCAATTTAATGGTCAGCTATGCAGTTTTCATACTTGTAAGACATGAATCATCCAACCAATTAAATGGTCAGCCGTGGTGCTTTTATACCTGTAACACTTCAATGATCTAACCAATTTAATGGTCAGCCGTGGTGCTTTTATACCTGTAACACTTCAATGATCTAACCAATTTAATGGTCAGCCGTGGTTCTTTTATATTTGCAAGACATCAATGATTTAACCAATTTAATGGTCAGCTATACTCTGTAGACAAGTGCGAAAGTTCTTCTTCTTCGTCGTTACAGTTTTGTCAGATTGGTCATGGTCATCAAGTATCAATGATCTACTTTACCAGACGCCACCTAGTCGCTGCCTTTTTAGTACATTGATGGTCCAAGGTATCTTCAGCATTCTTCTCCAGCACCACATCTCGAGCGCGTCTATCTTCTTTTTCTCACTCTCGTAGGATCCACGTTTTGGACGCATAAAGGAATATGGAGAGTACAAGCGATCGTACAAGCCGAGTTCTTTTTTTCTTTGCATTCTTTGCAATTTCTCCATCGCTGACCTAGTGATTGCCATTCGTCGCTTTATCTCGTCTATACAACCGCCGCTGTTCGTGCGAAAGATGAAAGCGAAAGTGCGAAAGTACTTACACTTTATTGGAGGTGACTGTACCTATGTTATTGAAGTTATGTATACACATAAGGTTGACCGAGATTAACATCGCCGAATGCTATTATCCATCTACACACTATTTGTCAACCATAGGTCGAAGACAGTCTTAAAAATGAATTTGATTATTGTTTTTGGTCGAAATCATGACAATATATGTATATGTCGTGGATATACTACCCTCGTAGTAATGTAATGTTTATTTTATCATTGTAATAGTTCGATATTTACTTTTCTTATTCATTTCCTGCTTTATCAATAGACCGGAATTAATTTGTCGCTTGCACATGTATTTCGATGTGACATCGTAGTGCACTTTGTAGTGAACAACTTAGACGGACGAGCACAGCAATGAATCTGTTTCTCTGATAGTCAAATATTGTGATCTTATTTCGATATTCAATTGGTTAAGTTTACATTCCGAACCGTTTTTAAAACATTCACGGCTGGGAACAACTTAAGGCCACGTTTTACAAATAACTATCATATGTAAACAGAGAAGACTGTTGCTATTTTTGGCAATCCATTACCGACTATTTAATTTTTTTTTTGTAAGGTAAGGCAAAATAATTTAAACAATACTTTCGTCCATCAATTACTGAAATGTTATTTTTTTACAAATTGGTCTTCTCCTTCCTTTTTTTTTTCAAATACAATTTATTTCCGTACTCACGGTTTTATCCTCGTCGCCAATGTAGCATTCGTTGTGCTATATTTGGCTCGTTCACGTACCGACACGTGTTGCCGG